GCTGGCTTAATGACAGGAAGTAGAGGGTAGAAATAGGCACAGTGGTATTAATTAATCTTCATGTGGTCAAGAATGCCTGAAAAACCAACAAGACAAAAAAAGAAACATCGATTTTACCTCTTTTACCAATAACATTAAAACATCCTGGTACATTTTTTCGTTCCTTTTAGTGTAAAATTTTTACTTTTCGCCAAAGAGAAAGAGAGAGGGTTCCTTTTATATATACAGATATTTCCTTCTTAAACTAAATTTTAAGATAAATAAAAGAAGTAGGCATTTAGATACTGTATCCAAAAAGCTTCTTTTTAGTTCAGGTTTGGTGGGCATTTTATTTTAATGCTTAGTTTTAGCATCTCAGTTTGTAAGAATCAATCCACTATATTAATTTAGGATTGTCTATGCTATGGACAGGCTCCAAATCTGATGTTTCAATGGATTTGCAAGTTCTTCAACTAGCCTACTACTTAGGTCCTTCGAGTTATGTCAAAAGAACCAAAATTACTACATGTTTTACTATTGTTGGGAAAACCTCATACCACTCAAAAGAAGCTGCAGTCAGTAATTATTTCCATAAGATATCATTACTCTTTTCTAAGTAAAAGTCACAAGGAGACGTTTGTGGTTCAAATGCACAGTTCCATTTGTCCTTCCAGTCCAGGTGCAAATTCAAGTCTAAGAATAATCTTGTTAACTCTATGGAACGGGGGTTGGCAAATTCAGTGGCTGTCTGGGGGGGCTGAGACCTTTAAATGGAATCTGGAATAAAGCTTCAGCTCAATCTGGCTGATTTTCTGCACCAGTTTGATATAGTGGTTAAAGCACTGGGCTACAAACTAGGAGACTAGGAGTTCTAGCTCCATCTTGGGCACAAAGGTATGTAAGTATTCTGGGGCAAGTCATTCTTTCTCAACCCTAGGAAGCAAGCAAGGGCAAGCCATTTCCCTAAAGCCTTGCCAAGAAAACTGCAGGGATTAATCTAAGCAGTTGTCAGGAATCAACAGTGCCTCGAAAGCAAAAACACCCCACATCTTTGGCTCTGGTGATCTTTGTGGCAGTTAGGGAAGGGGAAAAAAATAAGGCTGTGTTGTGATTTTTAAGCTGATATTCTCAAGCTAAGAAGGCAAACCTTAGACTGGAAAGATGGAGTTACCTGGTGGCAGTCCAACAATCACTTTTCAAATTCTATACAGGTAGTCCTCAACTTACAGTCACAATTGAGCCCAAAATTTATGTTGCTAAGCGAGACATTTCTTAGGTGAGTTTTGCCCCATTTTCTTGCCCCATTTGTTAAGTGAATCATTGCAATTGTTAAGTTAGTAACATGGTTGTTAAGTGAGTCTGGTTTACCCATTGACTTGGCTTGTCAGAGGATCGCAAAAGATGATCACATGATCCCTGGACACTGCAATCATCCTAAATATGAGTCAGTTGCCAAGCATCTGAATTTTGATCCCATGACCACAGGGATGCTGCAACAGTTGTAACTGTGAAAAATGGTCATAAGTCACTTTTTTCAGGGCTATTGTAACTTTGAACAGTCACTAAATGAACTGTTGTAAGTCAAGGACTGTATCCTCTTCACTACGCAGGATCTCATTTCCTAAAGCTATACACCTAAACCATAGGATTACTAGATTTTTTCTAAGCCTTCTCCCAAATTTATAGATTTCCAGATGCTGCATTAACGGTACCAAGCAGGATTGTATAAGAATCAAATTAATTAATTAACCATGAAACTATTGAAACTAAAAGTGCTTATGGTTGATTGGACTGTGCCGCCAGCTTAACAATATAGTTATATGGGTTTTGGTTATCTTTTATTTTCTTCTGCTTCCTATTTATGCTATAATGTTTTGCTGCATGTAGTTGTAATCACTTCAGTTCTATGTTGTATATAAACAGTTCTCTCAAGTCTCTTCAGTTTTTATAGAGTGTTCTATACTTGACATTCTGCAGCAGTTTGTAGTTTAAATTAGTAAAGTTTTCTTTCTTAAAAAAAATATTAATCCATCTTGGTATTGCCTCTATTTAAATTTAATGAACTGAAACCAGATCCCAAATTAGGATGTTATTTAAGCCATAGAATTTACAAACTCAAAGCAATAAATGCAAATTGGAGTATTACAAATATATTTAATAGAGTGAGTCCAATCATCTCACACTTACAGGGTCTTTTTCAATTCTCAGAAGATGGAACATCAATATAACATCCCTCGACACAAAGAAACAAACACAATCCCTGCATGTGAGATGTTATGCATTTATTTTGGATCCGCTGGATAAAAGAAAATCTTGTAAACCAGTGATATGTACATTTATATCATGCTTTCAAATGGGCAATATACTGTTCATTAGGTGTGTAAACAATGAATCCCACCCATGAGTTTAATTTATGGCAGCTACCCTGGGTGTTTAATTGAAGTCACCCAACTCAGCCATTTCTTGTAGTTCTGAACTCCATACCTTCAAATACTTTCCAATTAATTTCAATGACATTTAGCATTCTATATTCACAAGCAATGGATATTTGAAGAATTCTCCCCCATTAAAGATGCTTGAAGAACTGGTACTCTGCACACCCCTATACAAAATATCTCTTATCTTTCAAATTGAGCTATTAATCAGAATCTTAAGAATTTCAGTAAGAGATGTCAACCCTCTAATAAGGAATATGCTTTTCTGCCAAATATTCCAAGTTCTAAAACAGAGCACACTGGGGTATGAAGGGACACAACGTTAAGAAAAAATTGCAAAAACAAACCTTGTTCGCTGATGAAAGATGCTTCCAAGAGCTTTCCTAAGTATTGCATGACAGAGATAAGCAAAAAAAGATGGCAGCAGGACATTTATGGAACAAAAACAGTGAGACACTTAACCAATTAGCAGTTAATTTTTTTTTCTCAAAATAGGAGGTGGGAATTATGTCTGAAGCTGCTTAAACCAGGGGTAACTGTAATTGCTATTATTGGAAAATCTGTGTACATAAAGGGTTGCAGTTGAAAAAAATGTCCCCAGAGTTCCTTAAAAAACAAACTGCAAAATGAACCAATTGGTTGAAATAGTTCCTTGATTAAGAGGTGATGGCAAACTATTTCCATACAGTACTGTTGCTCTAATAAATGGATCCCCAAAAGTTACAGGCTTCAGATTTACTTTAGAGGCGGCTTTACTTTTTAATGTGAACCACAGAATGGAGTATATGAGTTAAAAACACAGTCAAGGGATGTGATTAGAAACAGACTGATTAATTTCCACTCTTCTCTTTTTTTCTTGGAAAAAGGAACTGTAAAAACACTTAGACTCTGGAGCAGGACTACTGTGTTAGTAATTAAAAAAAATAAATAAAGCGCCAGAACCTTAATATAAATGCTTTCTCCTCCCTTTAATAATTTTGAAAATCTTAGTTCCATTCATTGCAAAAAGGTTAAGGATTAAGTTCCATTTGACTCTTTCAAAGTCAATTTATTTTTGACAGAGAATTTAATAAAGTCAGGTTTTCTCAAGAAGAATAACAATTCTGCTCATGGAGGAAAATGTATGCCTTTTCTTAATTGCCATTTTCACTTTCTGGCAAACAGCACAATTCAGCTGACATGGGTTTCGAGGCAATGCTTCTGCCAAAATGCAGCTAATATTAGCACTGGTATCCAGCCAGCATGCTAAACGCATCCCTTATTTTCTAGTTTTATTGTATATTATTCTTTTTAAAAATAATCACTTGATTTTCATCACAGCCTGAAACACAATTTAATGTTTAATTAATTTGCCTATGAGAAAAAAGCTTCAACGCAGTTGAGCTCCTCTATAAACGATTTTGCTAAGGTTAAAGCGCATGAATCCAGATAACCTTGAGATGGTAGTAAAGAGTTTTTATATATATTTGCTGCCATCTAGTGGTCATTTGTATTTTGCAGTCACATTTGATAGCTCTGGACCACTGCAATATTTAATAGGCAATGGATAGTAATTATGAAATTTCTTCTAGTTTGCAGGGCTTTTTTTCTCATAGAACGCCCAGAACGGAGTTCCGGCACCTTTTTTGGATGGAACCTTGTAGGGTAGGCAAGACGGGTTGTATGACATATGTGAGTTCCGGCACCTTTTTTTTTTTTTTTT